GGACTTGAAAGCAGCCAGATAAGCACTGTGCTCCTGTCCAAATCGAGTCAGTCATTTAGTTTGAGAGCAGTAAAAACCCCATGCAAATGTTTTCCATTCAAAAATTCTTTTGATTTCTAAATTAGGAAAGCAGCAGTTCTTTCTGTGTGGTTTGGGTTTTTTTTGTTGTTGTTTTTTTGTTTGTTTGTTTGTTTTTTGGTTTATATATTTATTTATTGCTGAAACATTTCAAATATTTCTGGAAATTCACCAACAGGTAGGTTGTTCTGTTTTCACAAACTTTTCATTGCTTTTCCTCCACAGCTTTTGTTTGCCTTTACATTCGTGGCCTGGGGATTGCTATCAGGTCCCTCAATGGAGAGCAAAGCATTCCTGCCCAGCTCCCACCAACAGTGGGTGTAAATGGTGTTGGTGGCATCTGAGCTGTGGGGTCAGCAGCCCAGTGCTAGTTCTGCACGTTGCTGCATTGGAAGCTCTGTGCGTGCAGCTGTGCCATCAAGGCCCCAAGATCAGAGATCACTCTCCAGCACAGGACGGGACAGCAGAACAGGGTGTGCCTGGTCCTGCTCTCCTCTGTGCCCTCACCTTTATGCTGCAGTAATTTCTGGTGGAAAATAGGGGATGGGCCAAGGCCAAGGCCACGACAGGAACGTCTCAGGGTTTCCATCAGGGTTTAAGGCTTTTCCCCAGGCTGGCACCAAACCCTGCAGCATGGCACCGTGATACTGCGGGCTCTGCTGGCTCAGGGTGCCACCGGCACGGCGGCTGTGAGCGATGCTTGCAGTCAATGGCTCGGCTGCAGGGAAAGCCCTCGCGAGGCAAAGCTTAATGAAGAAGTCAGCGTGCGCTGGGATCAGACCTGCCGCCTGTAACCGAGCCTCATTGTTATTTAAATTGGGCTCCTGGCAGGGCTGGGAGAATAACTCACGATCAGACAATTCTTCTGAGCAAGGCGATGAACCATGCACACGGAGCCAGGAGGCGGGCTGGGGAGAAGCTCGTGTGGCAGGGCAGTGGCAGTGAGCAGCTCCGAAGGCAGCAGTGTGCTGGGGCTGCGGGTCTGCCCCGTTCTCCTTGGCACACTGGGAAGCAGGAGCGCTCCCGTGCAACACAGGCTCACTTGTGTGCTCACCCCTCTCCCAAGGCGGTGGAAAATCCCCGCGGTTTGAATCAACGGCAAGGAGCGATGCCTGCTAGCCCTCTTACAGTCGGAGGATATGAAAGCCAGTTATTGATCAAATGGATTTGGAAACAGGCAGCAAAACCCAAAGGATTTTACCACTAACTTTGTTTAAGCAACGGTGCAGGAAGGCGGTTTGATGTGAGCCACTTTTGGGTATATGAAACAGAATTAATTTGTTCTTCCTGAAAACCCAGCAGAGAGGAATATGAAATATTTAAACCGCCCAACTGTGGTTGTGATGCTCTGAACCACACGGTCCCAGCGGGAATGACACTTCCCATGTGTGGAGGTCTGGAGCACTCCCACTGCAGCTTTGCTGTCCCTGCCCCTTGCCCAAATTGGAGACCCAAAGAAAGACAGAGATTTGCAGGCTTTCCTCACTGCATTTATTTATCTGCAATGTGCTGTGCCTTGAGCGGTGATGGGAGGAATGTTGCACATCCACACCAAGCTAGGAAGCAGCTCACCAAGCAGCCCAGCAGCTCCGTATCCCTCTGCCCCGTATGCTTGTGGGTGCTGTGAGTTCCAGCAGAACAACACGGGCTGGTGGGAGAGCCTGGAAATGGGGCACAAGCTGCTGAGAGTGTGCTGTGATGGGGGAGAAGCCTTTGAAGCCCCCTCCTCTGAGCAGATCTGGAAGCATCTCAGCAGCCCCAACAGTTTCTCCTGCAGGTCCCAAGGAGGCAGCAATTCCTGCGCCTGCCCTGCCGCAATGAGAGCTGGATGTGAATGTGAGGTGACTGCTGCTGGGGTCTGGAACTGGAGCAGTGTCTGCGGCTGCACAGCTCTCCCATTGCTGGTGATCCTGCAGGGTTTACATAATGCCCCTGTCCTGGCACTGGGGCTGCTTGGCTTTGTGCTTCTGCTGAAGATGCTCTCCCCACAGTGGATGTGCAAGCTGGGCTCTCCCCTCTTGAATGTCACTTCTCTCTTTGCTCTTTGTCCTCAAGATGTGAAACATGCAAAAATGGTGAGAGCAGAAAGGGAAACCCCAGAGCATCTGACAGAGCTCTGGGCACTGGGAAGCCCCCCATTCACCCCCTGTGTCACGGGGGCAGGACAGGGATACTTGGCAGGGGCAGCACAAACTCCACAGCACTGCTGCAGGCACATGGCCCTAGGTACCAGGGCAGAACCCACCTGCAGCTCTGTGACTGAGAGTAATGGGAGGCACTTCCAAAGGCTGATGATGTCCTAAAGAAGAACACAGTATATGGAGGTATCTGCATGGACAATCTGAGGCGAGAGACTTTAAAACTCTGCTTAAGTCCCCCCAGAGCTGGGGCCAGCAGGAGCCGTTCTCAGGGTCACAGGCAACTGGAGCCCATCCCTGTGTTGGGTTTCCTGGCACGGCGCAGGGTGAGACGGCATCCGCACAGCACACAGGGGCTGCTGAGGCACCTTTATATCTCATTAGAGCTCCACTTTTCCTCCACCTGCTTCCTGTGGGGGATTTAGGTTCCTAAGAAACATGCACTGAGAAAATGAGAAAATCTTCTGTCAGCCTCATTGGATTTACTTAGAGGGAGCTGATCTGGGCACAGCTGGCACAGTGTCCCTATGCCATAGGGGTTGGTCAGGACCTTGTCTGCCTCCTGTGTGCAAGATCCTTTGTGGAGCACTGAGCTCCAGCTCAGGGAGGTGTAGGGCTACACTGCTGGCTCTGCTCTGTCTGGAAGATTCCATAAAACTGCAGGTTTATGGGAATGGGAATGAACTCTGCTGTGTTTGCCTCTGCTCCATGCATTGCACTACTGTGTGAGCGTTGGTTCAGTTCTGTTCATGTGCTCATCCTCTCCTTGCACCTCTGAAGGCTTTACTTGCGTTAATAAATACAATAATTTTCTCATGAAGGAGCTGCGTGGATGCTCAGCCCGATGTGTTCTTGGTGTGTGGGGGATCTGAGAACCCAGCTCCTGTGGAAATTACTATGGCTTTGGAAGTCCCATCTTTAATATAACATGAATCTCAGTGTGTTAAATAATGAAAACGGTAAAGTAAGGGAAAATAAGAAAAAAGAAAGCAGCCTCCTGAAACCAGAAACCATACCTGGCTTTTGTTTTGAGGCTCGGCAGAAGGAGGAAAGCTTGAATGTGAATACTGACATGATTATCAGTGATTGTATGGGGAAATTAAAGACATCTCCGTGGTTTCTGCTGCTGCTGGGTTTCATATACAACTGCTATGAGGGCTGTGTTTGGAAAATGGGTACATGCATTAAAAGAACAACAAAGAAGAAATAGCAAAGCACAGTTAAAAAGAGCAGAATTTAGCTTGGCATGGCTACATGCTAAGTGCAGCATGCACTTAGGATTATATACCAGTTTCCTTTACAAGAGTACACAGGAAAAGCATCAAAATGACCTGTTATTATTTTTCTTATTCCTCCCATTCCTTTGCATGCATAAAAAGCTATTTCTGTTGTGAAGATTTCCATGTGCAAAGCTCCATGAATGGGCCCGGGCCTCAATCAGGGGCCCCGCAGCTGTACCACCTCCAGCCAGCAGCCAGAACGTCTCTGCACCTCCTCGGGACAAAAGCTCTGCATGGAGAGGGATGCCTGCAATTTGTCTCCCCTCCTTAGCATTAAGATTGCAGGGTGCTGGGTGTTAGTAACAAGCTGTCTGCTTATGGAAAGACACTGCCAGCAGGACAGGTCAGCTCTGCATTTATGATTATAATGGAGCTTTTTAAACAGCTGCATAATAGCAGCTCTGGGTCTATTTCTGGTGCCCTCTTGGGCACCAAATTCCATGAAGCTCTGGGGGCACTCTTTGGAGCAAGAGCGTGTGGGCAGGAGGGCTGAGACAAGGCAGTGCAGGGGCAGTCACAGTCATAGTTGTTATGTTTTGGTAAAGCTGCCTTCCATTATGATTTAATGCTCCCAGAGCAGGCTCAGTGCATGGGGCTGGCACGAGGAGAGCTGAAGGGGTAACTGTGGTGGGGGGAGGGGGGTGGGGAGCTCTCTGTAGTGCCACAGGCAGGGGGTGAGGAGGTGGTTGGTATGGGATGGGAGTTGACCTGGAGGCTTCAGTGAGATGTGAAAATGAGGCTATTGTTGGAGTTGTAATAGCACCGTAATTTTTTGAAGTGCTATTGTTTGTACTATAAGTCCTGAAATCATCCTAGGTGCACTCCTGAGCTTTGCATCCCCCCTTCCCGGGCTGCTGTTGGCTCACATTGCACAGGAAATCAGGGCAGAACAAACGATCTTGGCTTTAGCGCTGTAAAGCTTTTGAGTTTGGGAACAGCAGTATTCCTGCCAGCTCTGCAGCAAGCATTCATCACCCAGCATAGGTGCCTCCTGCGAGTGACCTGAAGCCAGGATTTCCCTGTGGATTCTTATGTACCCTAGTTACTGTCTCTGCTGTTATTGCGTGCCACAGCCCAGTGACTCACGCTCGCCCCGTCCCTGCCCGCAGCACAGCACGGGCCGAGGATGCGCCCGTGGGCGCGGGGCCGCGGTCCGGGATGCAGGTGCTGTATGCAAATCAACGCATGGGCGGAGCCCCGTTGGGCCACGCCCACTCGCGCATCGATACCGATGTTATCAGCATGCAAAGCGGGGGCTTGGGGGCGGGGCTTGAGTCGAGAGGGGCGAGAGGGAGGCGGGGTCTGTTGTTAGAGGGCGGGGCTTGTTATGCAGATGAAGGGCGGAGTTGAGGTGATATGTAGATGAGGGGGCGGGGCACCGCCGGGTGTGTGTCGCTGCCTCCCGCCACAGCTGCAGCCAGAGGTGCTGAGCGCCGCCGAGCCCAGCAGCTGAGCCGAGCCGGGTGGAGCCGAGCCCAGCCCAGCCCGGCGCCCGCAGCGCAGCATGGCCGAGCCGCCGGCGGCGCCGGGCCCCGAGGGAGAGGAGGGCCCGGTGCGCTTCGCCCGCAAGGGAGCCCTGCGGCAGAAGAACGTGCACGAGGTGAAGAACCACAAGTTCACGGCGCGCTTCTTCAAGCAGCCCACCTTCTGCAGCCACTGCACCGACTTCATCTGGTGAGCGTCCGCTCCGTACCTTCCCCCACCCCATCCCCCCTCCCGATTCCCGTCAAATCCCCACCCTGATCCGCATCTGCAGCCCGAACCCCCCTCAGCCACATCCGGACCCCGCTTTTCCCCCCTCCTGGTCCCCTCACCCTGCCCCCGTCCCCTCTACCTCCCGGTGCCGGTGCTCAGCCTTTCTCTCTCTCTCTCTCTCTTTCTCTCTCTCTCCCCGCAGGGGTTTCGGCAAGCAGGGCTTCCAGTGTCAAGGTGAGTGTCGCGCATCGGGGCCGCGGGGCACAGGGGCAGGGAGAGGGCTGAGAAGCAGCTTCGTCATTTCATACCCCCATCTGGAGCAGACGGTCGGTGCGTTAGGGTCGCTCGTGGGGAGGGTTTTGGCACCCCAAAATGAGCAGAAGGCTGCATAGGCACTCCCTTCCTCCCTGCCTCTCACAACTTCCCCCCCCCCCCCCCCCCCCCCTTAAACAAAAAAAAAAAAGGCAGAGTTTGATGGTTTTTAATACATTTAATGTGTAGAGGTTTGGTAATGGCAGGCGGGCGGCTGGGCCAGCAGCGCGGGGCCATGGCTGTGCAGGCTGAGGAACTTCAATGGCTCTGTTGTGTTGCTGGGGAAAAATGAGGCGTTACAGCAAAATGTGCCGTGAGAGCTGCTGGGTTACTACAGGTGGAGTTCTTGGTTCTGATAGTGCTGGGGGTCAGGAGGGGCTCTCTGGGCTGCCCTTGCACACCGAGCTGTGGTAACCCTCTTTTGCTTGGCTCTTGTGAGGCTGCAAGATCTCCAGCAAAGGAGTGGAGGAGGGGATGCAGGTCCCACCTGTGTGGGGTTACAGCCCTGGACTCATGGCTCAGCCTTGTAATTGCTGGCACTTGCTCTAGTGAGGATTTGGGTAAAGCTCTGTCTTGGCAGGAGACTGAATGCCAAGATAAGGAATAAAACCGCTGTTTAACTCAGTAGCACAGGAACAGCTCATTTTGGCACACCTTGCTTGTGCCTCATGCTCCTGGGTGACCTGGGCAACCCACCAAGGCTGCTGTCTGTCTCAGACTCCCAAATGTTGGCACTTGGGGCAGAGGAATGTTGCAACCTGTCCTGCTGCTGCTGCTCAGGACAGGGCTTCCCTCTACCCGAGGTTCCACACACAGGCAATGAAGCAGTGCTATGTGAAGGAGTTCTGTGCATCTTATACTTCTGTGGGTCTTCCTAGTCTTACTTAGCCCTCAATTCTGCCTTTCCTTATGGTGTGTGCAGTGTTCTGGTTGGCATATTTGTACAAACACAGCAGCTCTGAAATCTGCTGTGCCCTAAAGAAGGCTGAGGGGCAGGGGGCTCATCTGAGGAGGGGGGGCAGGGCTTGTTCTTTTCTCCTGTGTAATTCATGGTCGTTTGCTCTGTTCTTCCTGTAGTATTCAATGTCAGCTCATTTGAACCTTTTCAAGCATCTTTCAGCTGTTGAGAACTGTTGCTGAAACCTGTCATTGTGCGCTTGCTTTGAGGCTTAACTCTTAAGGTTTCTGATATCAAATCTCTTTCTAGTGTAAGGGCAGTAAATGGGACCCATAAGGGCAGCCTCAGAGGTGCTGATGCACAGCTGTTGGCCACCAACTGTCCGTGTTTGGCTGTGGGGCAAAACAGAGCTCCTGTGCCCTGGAAGCTGCAGGGCTGTGATCACACCATAGGATTCCCACTGCAGTGCTGTGCTCGGTGATGCTGCCAAAAGTGTGTGACTGGTCTGTAACGTCCTTCTGTCATAGAAACTGCTTTCCAGGTTATTCTGGTATGACAGACATGAGAACAGCTTTAATTCAACTTTAATAATTGCCCGACTGTTGTATCCTACTGTTAGCAGGGATGGCTGGAAACATAGCTAAGGCACATGCCTGTCTTGTTTCTAAGCTGTTTCTTATTGCCATGCTTAAGTAGGTTTTCACCTGTGCCCTGATTTCTTTCTAGGGCATTTGCAATAATTAGATTGTTAATTAGCTCATTACTTGTGACTTTTGGCAGGAAGTTTGCAGAAACTGACTCATTGTAGCTTGAAATACTAATGGATACTGCAAATGCCACCTAACTGCTTGCTAATCTCCTTATCCTTGTATACAATCTCCTTCTTATCCTTGCATACATCTGAAGGGAACACTTCTGGAAGCTATCAAGAATGGAGCTCTAGGTCTCCTTCTCCTGGGAGCCGCTACCTCTGTTAGCATTTCCTTTTCTGTTAATATTCCTGTTCAGCATCCTTGGGGCACCTTTTTCCTGTTGGCCAGCAGCTCTCAGGCTCTGTAGGTCGGGGTGCTGGGTGTGCTGGAGGTATTAGGAGGGCACCTGTGCTGCCAGCAGGGTCTGCTCAGCTGCAGTTAATGCTGTGCTGCTGGGCTGTGCCTGACCCAGAGCCTGGGAAGCGGTGCTCATGGGGAGGTGAGGAGTCATGTAATGTGATTCTCAGTTACAAGCAAAAATAACCTGCATCTGTTAGACTGCTTTCACGTGTACAAAATAGGAAAGATCTTGGAAAGAAGGATCTTGGTTCCTAAAGAGGAGAAGGGGGGAAAAAAAAGGGCACCATTCAGTAGTGAGTGCTTGGATCTCCTGTAGTGAGTTTTCTGGGTGCATTGTTCACTTCCTTCCCCTAGAATTGACACAGTAAGCAAACATATCCTTCAAATTTAATCTTTCCAGACTTGGTCCCATACGCATATCCTTCTTCCACAGCTTCTTCTCCCAGCCCTCCAACACCAATGCTCTCACTTGTTGCTCTCCTGGAACAACACTCACTACAAAGCCTGAGTGGCTGAGGGTGTCAGGCAGGGCTCCCCTCCTCCCAGAGTGTTTCTCATGTATTTCTCAGCTGTCACAACCCCCCTTCCTCCCACACCTCGCTGCCCTCCAGACGGAAGTGAAACCCACTGCAGTGAAACCCAGCGTAGCTCAGGGCTGGCTTCATCTCATCGGCGGTGCGCTGCTATTGACTGCGTGTAGCAAGGGAGAAACAAAAGCAAAACAAACTCCAATCATTCAGAGTTGCCTCAAACCCAGTAATTTCGTGTCAACATATTATGCACAGTGGAGAAATGTTAGTGTTCAAATAGACTAATTAAAAATGTTACTGCAATTACTTTTGCGACACAAATGGTGCTAATTATATAATGCAGCAGAAATTGGAAACATAATTTTGGAGGGTTTCCGTGTGTCTCTTGGTGGTAGTACAATTTTCAGCACATGGCAGTGTGGTCTGTGATGCAGGGAGTGCTCTGTGGCTGCGGGCAATGGGGTGGGGGGTGGGGGGTGGGAGGGAAGTGGGGCCGGACCCCCATGCTGTGTCAGGTGGTTGGTGCTGCTGCAGGGCTGCATCAAACTGCGCTGGCAGGGAAAGCAGGAGGTGTGTGTGCCTTCACACTGGGGCTGTGTGACCAGAGTTCCTTCTAAGATGAGCGTTACAGCCTGAATGGAGCTGGATTCCCTAATCCTGCTCTTTCCTGTGCTGGATACCTCCTTCCTCAGCTGCTTTTTGGAGTTATTTGGGCAGGAAATCTGGGCTGGCAGAGGCCTCTTGCAGAGCCTGGCCCGTGGCTATCAGGTTCAGCAGGGATCACTGATACCTTCAGCCCTGTCAGTGTCTCCTTACAGCGCTGAAGGGTTCATTTTTGTTGCTCAGTGGATGTGGTTTCTCTCCACCCTCCCCCTTTACAATTAGCATGGTAGATTTTTCTTTATCTCCCAAGGTAACCGTCATCCTACAGTGATCTTAAAAGTTTGATGACAAAGTGGTCAGCTTCCTTCCTGGGGTGTCTCCGCTGACTGGGGCCATGCAGGGGGCTCTGAGCCAGCCCCATGGTTCCATGCTCCGTAGGTTTGCAGCAAGCAGAGCTGTTGGTCCCAGGGCTCCGATGAAGGATTTGAGTCTCTGTGATGGTGCTGCTCAAGCAATTGAGTCTCCCGGGGGAATTCAGTGCCTGGGCAGTCCCTCAGGAGACCCGCAGCAGATGGCATCAGCTCTGCGGTGTGCCTGCTGGCTTGTTTGCACGCAATCCTGTGAATTGTTCCAGCCTCGTGGGCTCGTGGGGTGCTGGTGCCTGGAGGTGGTGCTGAGCATGTGGCCGTGTGTAGCTGTGCGTGGGTCCCTGTCCTGGGGACACCTCCTGGGGAGCGAGCTGCAGGTTTTTGCTGGGCCTCCATCTCTGCAGATGGACCCCTGAGAGGAAATCGCCAGGGCCGCAAAGCAGAACAAGACCATGTATGTTGAATTTTTGGCATAAGGCAGGAGGTACAGCTCCTCTTACATCCCTCCTTTTCAAGTTCAGTGTGGGTTCTGTGAGTGCAGGGGTGAAGCTCAAGCTTGAGGAGTCCCACCAGCCCTTTAAGCAGGGCTGCTGCCCTCCCAGCCAGCAAGCAGGGCTCTTGCTCCTCTGAAGACATTTGAGTAGACCAAAATATCAAGCTGGATACACTCATCGGTGCTGTCCAGCCCCCCTTTGGATTCATCAGCAAAGAAGTTGCGTGAGCACCATGACTAAGAAATAAACTTCTGACTGTGCCCGTTATTTAGTTCGGGGTAGAATTGCCTGCAACACGTAATTTAGTAGTGCACAATCAGAAGGGAAATGTTGGAGTACTGTCTTCTGCTCTGCCTCAAACGTGCGTGGCAACAAGGAGGGATGCTTGTGAGGGTAGGGATGGGATGGGATTTCATCCAGGATGAGTGTTTGGATGTGTTTTATCTGCAGAAAGTAGCTGTGCAGGGGATTAGCCCTGTGCATCGCCATCAGCAGGGCTCTGGACCTGCTGGAGCCCAGCTGTGGGCTGCTCCCATCACTGCATGGTGCGGGCTGAAGGGCAGCACAGAGCAGAGGGGGTGTGTGGTGCTGCGCAATTAATTCCTCCAGCGTGGTTCTGTGAATCATTATTCTAAAAGTCCATCAATTAGAACCATTTAGAAAAGGTGAGTAATGAGCTCCCTGCGGGAGAGGAGTGGCCGTGGGCTTTCTGGGCAGCGCGTTCCTTGTTTTCTTCAAGAGCTGCAATGGAAGGCAGAGTGCTGGGAACAAACAGTGACAAGGGCAACGAATGCACCCACGGCAGCAGGGCTCTGCATACAGCTGTCCTGGTGCGTGCAGCCTTGGGCTCCCATTGCCGTGTTCTGCTGTCACTGTGTTCTGCTGTCACTGTGTTGCCAGTGCCAAAATCCTTCACTGCTGTTTGATGGCCTTCGGCATGCTGCCTGCAGCAGGAGGGAGGTGAGGGCAGGGCAGAT